CTTCAAGCATCGGGGACAGGGGGGGATCAGGAAGGGTTGAAGCCTACCCACGCCGCTTACCCAGGCCGTTTTTGGCCGAGGGAGGCAGCGCGGGGAGGCTGCCGGCAGCAGGGACAGGGTGGGGGGGGGTCCGGAAGGCTTCCAGGCAAAGGCCTGGAAGCCTTCAACACCCCCGTACCCTTCCCCCGCCACCGCTGAGAGCCTTCCGAGCTCTCAAAGGGCTTTCTCCAATATCGGAGGGGGCCCTTTGAGAGCTCGGAAGGGAATTGTCGGCAGGGGACGGTGGCTTCAGGGTCCTTCCGAGGCCGCAGCCCACTTCCGACATTTTCCCCTAGCTGGGCTTCAAAGCTCCCGCTGCTCAGCTGGGGGAAAATGGTGCCTATGGGGAAAAATCGCAAAGCGATTTTTCCCCATAGGCAAGATCGTAGTGCGATCGCAAAAGCGATGGCAAAAAAGCCATCGCTATGCGATTTCTTCGTTAAACGGGGCACTCGTTATACGAGGCACCACTGTATAAAAATGCAAATACATACATCTCCAGAATGTTGGCTTTGAAACTTAGTGGTAACAAGTTGAAACATAGAAATACAAATACTGTACATACATTCACAAAATACTGAGTTAAAGACCAAGTGCAACCAAATTAAAAATACGAACAGTTTCTAAAATTAAACATTAACTCCTTATAAGTAACCACGTAAGTCTTCACATTTTTTCCCCTCAGCTTTGGGCAGCTACTACAAGTCTTACTACTGTTGCAACTTTTATTAAAATTAGGCATTAAATTTATTTCAGTCACTTTTATCTGGAATGCCCTCTAGGAAATTTGAAATAAACTTTGGTCTAGGTTCAAAATATAAAGAGCAATGTCATAAATAATATAAAGAATATAATATAAAGGACAATGTCACAAATAATGTTATTCATTCTCTACTATTTGAGCTCTGCATATACAAAGATGTTGTGCTACTGGTGTCTGGGTATCCTTCCACGGTGCACAGTATGAAATCTTAGTGACTAAAAAAATGCTTTTCTACACAGCTCATGTAAATAATTCATAAATCTGTAGGATAATTTCAGAAAAAAGCAACTGTGAGGAGAATAATGATACCTTAATTGCCTTCAAATCTTTCTGGGAATACAAATGCCACCAATTAAATTATGTTAATTAATTAAGAATACTGATAACATCTCTAACTATACTTTTAATTACAAAAAGTATAACTTTTGTAATTAAAACCAAAGGACAGTAGGTGGCAGAAACAGCCAGAACCTTTCCACACCATGAGGAATTTTGGACAGAATGTGTAAGTGGCATTATGGTTAATAAAAAGATATGCTGCAGAAGCATACAGGAATCACATGGAGACTTTCAATGTTAAATGTTTCCTCTACAAGTATTAAATACACGCGCTGAGTGAACCAGATAGGTTAAAGAGTCTACTCTGTGTTTCCTATATCACAGGCCGGCAAGCAGAGTCAGGAAGTGACTAATGGGTATTTGTGCTGCCTTTTGTGCGGTGTTTCTCACTGTTCCTTTCAGTATTTATTTGATTATACAATATCAACGCTAATGGAGAGTAGATCTGATCTTTTGACATGAGTATGTTTGGCCAGCAGGGCCTCTGTTTTGTGCACTATTTCCACTCCCATTATTTTGTCTTAACTTTCGGCTTGTGTGAACACTTACATTGGTCTTTGGGGGCAGTTGCTGGGTGTATCCAGATGACATCACTGACAGGGATGAGGACTTGTGAGTCACAATTCGCTGTCGATTCTGATTTGAACTGCATCATCACATCAACTCCAGCTCGACACAGGTCTTTTATGAAAAGACTCTGACTTGACTCAATCACTCGGAACTATTTTTCTGAGTTGCATTTCAAGTCTCTATTAAGGATGGGCCTCCCTACCTCCTGCCATTGCCCCATCACCACCGTCACCCTTAGAGGCAGCAGGCTCAGTTTCCCTTCCAGGAGCTCCCTACTGCCTCCACCCATATGCCCACTGTGCAGCTGATAGGCTGATACATGCGCAGAGGCTGGCTCCAGGAAGGTAAGCTGGGTCTGCTGCCTCTGAGGAGGATGGTGGCGGCAGCTGATAAGGAGGCCTGCTCTCTCTGCACATGTGCCAACCTATGAGCTGAGCAGCAGATGCAAAGTCTGAGTCTTTGGGTCCACGTCCCAAGCCTCAGGGGCAGGGCAAACAACTCGAGACTCTGACTTGAGGCTTGGGTCCCAGGTCCGAAGATTTGGACTTGAGACTCAGGTCCAAAAACTTGCCAACGTCCCTGATCACTGGTGAGATCTCTGAATGGGCCACTCCTTTTGCCTGCCTTCTACACACACTGGTAAGCACCACACCTGCAATGCAATTAAAGATTTCTGCATGAATAGCAGTAGTGATTTAAATTCCAGGGGGAAGTCTAGAGAAGTCTGCATCCACTCGGGACTTGCCCCCAGTAGCTACAACTCTAGGGGGTGTGGTAGAGTGACAGTCCTCATGCCACCACAGAGACACAGGAAATGCTCTGCAGACTATTGAAGAAGTGCCATCTCTGCCTAGCTGAGGCTTTTTTTAAAAAGCAAGTTCCAGTTTTGAGAAAAATGCACCCCTGGCCTCGAGCAGCTCAGAGGGTGGGTAGCAAAACTGCTTGTGCAGATGCCTTTTCACTGCTGCTTGTGAAATGAGAAATCAATGAATCTCTAAGCGGAAGGCCCCATTATGTTGAACTGGGCAGTCTCTGAATCACACAGCTGCAAGCAAGAAATCAGAGAAGGAACTGCAGAGTGTTCTAGCTGTGAAGGTGTTACAT